TCATCAGGAAGTGAGGTATCATTAATATGTGGATGATACTCTACCCTGGGTCAATGTGGACAATACTCTACCTGGCTCAGTCAGCAGCTGCAGTCAGCAGTCTGTTCTGATGCCTGGAGGCCATTAGGGTCTTCTGGATGGGGAGAAACAGGTTGAGTTAATTAATCCCAATGGTAGGGGATAAGGAAGGTGATTACTCCAAAGGAAGCCCATCTGTGTGAAGCAGGTTAACAATCAAGGGGTGTCCTTAGACTCAGCAGCTTCTGCTGGAAGGGCGGATGAAGGCCCCAGCCAGAAGGGTCTTTACACTAGTTTATCTAGTGCCAGTTGCAGCCATTCCTGGAATGGGAGACTTTGCTGATGGTAAATTATACCCTTATCACCTCACATCTGCACTGGACTGTTGCAATTCACTCAATATGGGGCTGCCCTTATAGTTGGTTCAAAATGCAGCAGCCCAGATAGTTACCAGCTTGATTAGGTTTACCCAGGTAACACCTCTACTGCAGGAGCTGCATTGGCTGATGTTAGCTTCCAGGTATCATTCAAGATCCTGGTTGTTACCTTTAAAGCTCTCTATTATTTAGGACCCGGGTATCTGTAAGACCACCTGCTCTGGGTGGAATCTGCCCATGCAGTAAGATCTATGAGGGAAGGCGTGTTACAGGTCCCACCTCTGAAGAAATGTTGTCATCAGGGGCCTCAAGGATAAGCCTTCTTGCTGCCCCCTCCACCTTCACTGCAACAATATTCCCCTGAGATAAGGATAGAACCTCCTTGTGTTTCTGATGATTTGTGCTGACCTGGCTCTTCTGTAGGGCTTTGGGGATGGAATGGAATTGTGAGAGTGTTCCTGAAGGTTGTGGTGCTGGATATCGGTAAGGGCTAGTTTAGGTTTTTAGCATTTTTTGGTATTGATATTGTTCTAATTACTGTATGTAGGAATTGTAAATCGCTCAGAGTCTTGTTTGACTGGAGCGCCGTAGAATTCTAGCAAATAAATAACGAAAGGTGAATTAACAAAGAGACATTTGAAAAGAATAAAAATTATTTCAGTACAATTTGTTACAATAATTTAGGCCCAGATTTTTTTCTGTTTTAAATCTAATATTTGTCTCTGGTCATGTGCAGAAATGAAATGTACATACATAAGATATACACATACGTCCATCACATCATTCCTGTTGAGGATAAGCAACATTATGCAAAGCACGGAAAAGGAATAATAGTAATCCAAATGAATTAAAGGTGTGAGATAAGAAAAAGAAATAGATGAAACTGGTTTACACCAACCCCATTCACTCTCTCTCTCCACTTTATGTCCTTGCAAACCATGCTTGCTTCCACCAACTCCACACATACTTTATACAGTCTTTGTCCTTTAAATTTAAATCCTCATTCATTTTCTCTATATGATCAAGCCGCAGCATACTTTTTTAAAAAACATCATGCCTGGGCATACTCAAACTTTCTTTCCTTTACTTATAATAAAATTTCAGTCAATTGATCAATCAATCAATCAGTTCAACTGTTTCCTGCCTAATCTTGAATCTTCCCCAGAAGAACTGAACAATTCATCTTTTTCTTGCTCTAATCACGTCTTCTGTTTCAACAGCAGGCTTTGTGGCTCTTAAAAGAGGTGCTGCTTTCCCAGATGCAGTCCCAGCCACAGACTTTTTGTTTCTTTCATGTGATAGCCTATGGGGAAGTTAAATACCATATCTCTGGAAGCAGACAGGCGGGGGGAAAAGGAAAATACTGAGGGAAAACAGCTTCAGAAGACAGAGTATGTCATAAGAATCCAGGGTGAGATAAATATCATGGTGCTGGGATAAAATGCTTGACTCATGGTTGTCTGAAGTACAATCTGTACAAATAAGAGACTGTCATTTTTTGGGTTTCCAAGTAACTTCAGAAACATTTTTGTTCAACACAGAACAGTCTAAATAGTGCTAGTTCTAAGAAAGATCTCAACACCTTTGATCAGGCAACACCTTTATTCAGAACTATGAAATCAAACCACAATGAAGAAATTCCACTGTCAGCATTCCAGTCTACTAGAAAAGTCTTTTTGGCAGCTGTACTTGGGGTGCTGTGGTTGATAATGCTTCAGCAAGCAACCTCCAAAGAAAAACCCTTAAATGGCCTTTTAACTTAATTAAAACAGCAGATCAGAATGGATTTGTTCTGAAGAGATACATAATGGATAATATCAGATATATTTTGAATGATATTGATAAGTAAATTGATAATGTAAATCAGAAAAGCAAGAAAGCTATGATTTTTCTTGATGCAGAGAAAGCCTTTATCCTGGTTAGAGAACTACACAATTAAACAATTAGGCATCAAAATAACCCTTTGAGCAGATGTTGTGAGAGGTGTCCCTATGGCGTGTGACCTCTACCTAAAGAATTGCACTAATCGCCAGAGTTGGAGTGGCTGTGGAGTGAGCTAAGCAATTTTGACAGTCTTGTGGCAGGTGAGCAGATTTGGAATGGGGAGACCAAAGTCCCATATTTTGTTAGATAAATTATATCTTGGTAATAAAGGGCAAGAGGAATAGAATAGTTTATACACAGCTGGTAGACAAAGAAGCAAAGCAGTAGTAAGAAGACTTTCTCTTTCTCCCTGGATTTTTCCCTCCCATTGACTTCACTATGCATTTGTCATGGACCCAGAGTGTGTAATTGGTGGTTCTCTAAATATATTGCAATTGTATTGATTTGGAGGGAAGAATCAGTTATTAGAGAAATTCACATGAAGGAAGGACTAGTTCCAATGAATTCAGTAAAAGTTTCTACAATTAGTTTTTATATCAAGTTTCATTCTCAGCACACTGTATCCTTCTGTCTCCTCCCATGCAGGCCCCACAGGTTGTGATATACCATGCAAACAGCAGGAGTCACTCCCTGTTATCTTCAGCATGAACATCCCCTGTGCAGCTTCCCCTTATTGTCTTCTAAAATCTAGCTGCATTTTCCTCCTATGCTGCTAGTTCCTGCTCTACCTGTTGGACTTTACTCTCAGCAAATTTTCTATGAAGTTTGCCACTGACAATTAATGGTTTGGAATATGGGCATTTGCAACTGGCTGTCAAACATTTGCTCAAAGTCCTTCTCACCACTCTGCCAACATTATCAAACAGAATGAGAGCCTGAGCAACAGCACAATGTTTTGAACACTTCCCCGCTGTGTCTCGGATCCTGATTCTTCTGTAATTCCATTCTAACTGCTCAGAACTAAAAACGTATCCAGATTGCTATCTGAATGGATCACTCCTTGAGCCTTACCACAACCCATCCAGATTGCAGAACATTCCCAACGTACTTTAAAGCCTGATGCACATTTCCCCCATTTTATCCTTGCCATCTCCAGATCCAAAGCACATACTGCAAGGGGCTGCCCATGTGTTTGTGACTCATGAGCTTGCAAAGGGCACTGCTCTGCCCAAGCCAACCAGCAGCTGAATGCCAAGAAAACAAGCCTTTCAGCTTTCACACTCTCTGCTCTAACTGGCCATCACTGAATTTCTTGCCAGTCCTAGAGCAGTATTTCTCAACCTTGGGAACTTGAAGTCCACATATCTTCAAGTTCCCAAGGTTGAGAAACACTGCCCTAGAGCTTCAAATCCTTTGCGTGTACACAAAGCAGTTCTTCTTCCTTCCTTTACTGAGAGACAACAAATAGACTTTTTGTAGCACCCTTCCCCCCTCTTTTTTTTAGTGTTCACTTGTCTAACCTAGCAATTTCTTCCTGGTGAGCTTACATGGATTATTTTCAAAGGAAGACTGATTTGTGAAACAAGTAGTAAATTCATTGAGAAACCTATAAAGCCTTCTTCTCTACATGGTGTCAGATTGGCTTTGCCGCTGAAATGGCAGTGATTATTTTGCAGTGATCTATATAAAATAATATTCTGTATTCAGTCCTTAGAAGAGTTCTCGCTTGCTCAATACATTCAGAATTCCCACTTCTTTCCATTGCTCAGATCTTGAGTACAGCAGCATAGTTAAGGGTGATATGAAGGGCTCAGTCATTTCAGCTTGGTTCCCTCTGCATTGCCCCTGAAATTGGGCACCAGCTGGAGCCCAGAGCCATTCACAGACCCCTGAAAGTTCTGTGAGTCCTTCCATCAGTGTTCTCAGTATTAACGGGACCTAACCAGATTAGCTATTGTTAGTCTGCTCTTTTGTTATATTGTTTTCCTCTTTTAATCTTCTTACTGAAAGAACGCAATGTAAGCTGCTCAGATGCCTTCTGGACTGGAGCACATAAGCCCAAATAAATAAATAAATAAATGG